TTTCGGGTTGCCATTCCTGGTCAGCGAGGTCGGAGGAACAGCGCCATTCAAAGGGATCTCGCGTACACATCTGATTCTCGCTCCGTTCCTTTCTCCGTCCGAGCGCAGCGGGGACGAATTTCGCGGCTCTGAGATCTTTGTTTTCGGAGGATTAGAGCGTTCGGAGAACGAATCAGGGATGATTGTGCGCTAATCGAATTCCTACCCGAGCAGCGGCTAGACACTTTGATGACTCCGGTCTCCGCCAGGGGAACGCTCTCCGCGATATGTCAAGTCGGGGAAAACCTGTCTGTTAGATGTCCCCCTGGCAATTCATCATCTCTTTGGGCTCGCCGGACGGGGAGCTGGTTAAAGTGTTTTATTTCTTGGGCCTCGGAATTCTCGAGTTCATAAATTATTCTGAGTCTAGCTCGCGGTAACTCGCGTGTTCGAGACGCTGCGCTAGTCGAGATGGCTCGAGCGAACTCAGTCCTGCGAGCGAGCGAGAAGGCGCGGGCTCCGGGAGACAGGACGCATAAATCCTGGAGAGCTCTTCCTGCAAAAAAAAATACAGCTCACTCGCACTCGCTTATTAGTATGATAATTCGGACAGAAAAGCAAAGCGGATGTCACATAATATACGGAGGAGCAAGGAGTCTCTCGTTTTTTCGAAGTTCGAATCCACGTTCGAATCATTTCGCATGAGTATCCGTCAGATTAAAGCTCGGGAGAGCCCTACGAGAGGAACATCTGCGAAATAGATATCGCAAGTAAACCGTCCACATTCGAGTCACCGAAAACGCATCGCTTCAGACGAGAATATCTCGGGATAAATCCTGAATACCGCGGGAACCGTTGGATTCTGATGGAGTCTCCCGCTGAGGTCCATTTTCTGGACTAGGGATCCTGGTCGGCTCCGTATATTTGCATGGTGCTCGGCGGCTCGTCTCAATCTGTTCCTTCTGAAATTCCGTTTGCGACACGAGGAAAAACAAAGGCTATCGTTTTCTTGAGGAAAAAAGGCTCTGAATAGTTGAATCATTCCTGCCATATCATCGCTCGATCGGTCTTTCGAACGGCGCCGAGTCACTGCCGGCCGGCTGGCCTCTACTAAATCCATATTGTTGTTCGATTTTCGTGTTTGTGCTTTTTTATTGCCGGACACTTTTCTCGTTCCGCTGATTCGCTCTGTTGCTCGTTGACGAAGAAGACGACGGCGACGACAAGATGATGACTTCGATCATCTCGTTATTCATCATCTCCGTCGATGTCGTCTTCAGGATGAGCCGTCAGCCAGCTAGTCAGTTACTCGAGCCGAGAACAGCGTCGAACGTAGAACAACATTTTCCCTAGCTGTTCGATCGCTGACAATAATTTGCACAATGATTCGCCACGACGACGAGAGCTACCGAAAATTGATTCTGAATTGCCTATGCTAAGATTGACCGACACCAACCGACGAATCAACGTCAAATGCGCACGAAACAGCCCGAGCAAATCTGTTGGGCGTCTATAAGAGCCACCGATAGAAGCCGTCGACGGATAGGTCGTTGCCGGAGCCATTGTTGAAATCGTCGAAGTCATCGCTGTTGAAGTCTGTCGGCGAACTCATCATCACCATTGAGCCGTGGACAATAAGTAGGATAAATTTGTGGAAAACCGAGAGGAAATTGCTAGTGGGGATGCGAGGAACGACAGCTCGTTCGACTACATCATATCTTCGGACATCCTACACGATTTATCCGAGATCAGAAGCACTTCTGATCCCCGAGAAGACGTCTGAACCTTCCTCATCCCATGAAAGTCCGTAGAAAAACGAAAACTATCAGCACCCGGCTCGATCGAAAATGTCTGTCGAGAATCAGGAATCAATGATCGCCCCGTAGTCGAGCCACCCAGAGAGCAACGAGTTTTGTAATTCTGTCGTTTCGATTCGATGCGAAGAGTCTGTTCTCGGTGCCGTTGTCTGTGAGCGATGATATGATTGTTCGACGAGGTCTGAATAATCACGACAAGATGGAAGCAGAATGCAAGACCCTAAATACATCGAGCTCTAATGGTGGATTCGTTTTGTGAATCAATCCTGTAATTTTCATTCTGAGACGCCATTCCTGAGCACGCAACTGACCGAAAGTCCGTCCCGGGCTCGCTCCGTTCGAGTGAATGAATGCCGCTTCTGATGACAGCGTCTTCGACGTCGTCCGACTTGCGCAATTGACGTCGCTGGTCCACCAAGTCAAAGAGTACATACTCGACTCGGAAGTGATCGCTCGCGTGTTCATGACGCGAATATGAGGAAACCACGTTTGTTGGAACGCTCTTCTCCAATTCCAAAAGTGATTTCGATCAAGGATCTTCTCCAACCTCCGCGAGGTCAAGATTGGCCTCATCTCCCTAAATCGGCCGATTCGAAAATGTTTTTCTCTCCTCAGCATGCTCCTGAGCTATCCCAACTCGATCATTCGACTGACGGCGGCGAGTCATTTCCAAGCGACGATTCATGCTTTTAACATCAGGGGCTCTAAGCGAGCTCGCGGGGGCTCCGTGCAGAACATCGAACGCTATTTATGTGTTGAGTGACCGCGGTTTTACTCAAGCCGACAAACCGTATGCAAATGACCCGGGCTCCCCACGAGGGAACGGATTCGTGGCTGCTCTCGTTTGTATTTGGTGGGTCCGGGTGAGTTTGATCTGAATTCCGTTGAAGTGTGCGGAGCACCATCGGCCGGAGTGCATATGTAACGGTCTGCAGGGAAGACCTTGGTGCTTGTGAAGCTATACGCACCCGTATGTGATGAATGGACCTGTCCTAATGGGCCTGTCATAGCGCTATTTAATATTCCCCGCAGGAACACCAACCAATGGCTGCAGACGATGACGATACTTATTATTGTCGGGCTTCAACTCCGATACATTCTACTCACCTATCCCTTGGCGACGGTGATCGTTGTTCATCGATAAAGCCAATTGAAGCTCATCTAAAACCATCGGACTTGGATGATTGCTCTCTAATACGCCTTGCCGAGTGCTCTTGGCTTCGCAAGCTCTGGCGATCACGATGGGAAATCGCTAACTTGCTCCGATGTGGAAATCTATCGGAGCGAATGTTTACTTCGCTTTTCACGCTCAGTCGGGAGCATATCAACGAAGAATTCGTTTTGCCGGACGCTATCTTGCTTCCGTGTCGGAAGGCAATTAGTTGTTCTTCAATTTCTTGTTGATGACTTTCGAGGCTCGGCGATGGAATTCCGAAAGATATTTTCCCCGAAAGATATTGATCCGTTGAGCAGGGAATCCCAGAGCTCGTCTACGAGAGCGGGCCCGATCCGACGCTCCATTCACTGATATTCTCGCCCCGGCTCTCCGCTCTGAGAGAGAACGGAGTCATTGTCTTTCAAAGCACGCTTCAAACGTACGCCTGCACAAAGTGGAAGGAGAGATGAGATGCTCTTCCACGGAGCAACGATTATTGACTGAGGATGGCAGACATTGATTTGAACGAATCGTTTCGTTGTATCATTTTTGCCGAGTCAAACAGTTGCTCGAAAGCCGGAGTGACTGGCATTCGATTGCACCAGAGAACTTGTCTGGATCTCCGCTCCGTCTGGCAGTCGATGGCAGAAGGTAGCACTTAGGCGACGTTTGTCGTTTGTAGCAGCCCACCGCGATGAGAGGAGTGAGCGAGCCACTGAAGTTTCCGTCCCAGAAGTCGTTGCTTCAATCATCGCTCTGAAACGTCTCGATCTCGATCGAGTATTCTGTTCTCTCAATCGCCACCGCCATGATGGAGATCGACTTGGAGTTGCATTTGAGAGACTATTTCGAAGGTTCGGTGGTCTCAGTGCCCATTTCCGTCAGAGGCGGGATCTCGTATCCTTCTGAGCGTACCGTTCCTGAATGAGTCCAGAAGAGTTAAGCATTGCAACTTGCGCAATAAGAGGGAAAAAACTGACAATTTCTACAGACATTTCCAGAATTTATTTAGCCATTGAAACCTTCCATCATTCACCGGGAATTCAATCGGTCCTTATGCGCTCGAAAGGGGGCGTTCCTCGACCTCCAGAATCCAGACATTGCAAATCAATATGCCTCCCTATTCGTCAGTTTCCCGGGACCCCCGCCGTATTATTTCTCTACAAAACTTGCTTCAGTATTGAGAGCGCTCTCGCTCTATATAGGAGTTGGCTCCTAATACACCACTTGAAAGTTCCTATTCGTTTCGTTGTGAATCTTCCAATCGATTCTCCTGCTCACATGTCTTCCCATTCTATAAATAGCAACACACTAGTGGTAACAATTATATTTATAGCCGTCTCCATCGTTTCTATTACCTCAGTACGTATGTACAGAACCTCGTTCTTGGGGCTTAGAAACCGCCAGAACGTCGGCCGCATGAAACTTGCTGCTACCGACCGACTCGGGGCGTGCTGCTCAAGACAAAAGTAGAGCTGCTTTCACGTTTATTTACACAATTCCCAGATTCCGGTATATTCTCTCTCTGTTGATTCTCTCTTGCATCCGATACGAAGCACCCTGTCTCGAGAGTATTTACAGAGTCATTCGGGAACAGCCGAGCAGCGCCTCCGAGTAGTTTGAAGATCGTAGAATTTTTCTCAAGACTTCTCGATCCAACTTCCGACAGTAAAATTGAGAAATGCATGCTCTGTATCTGATTGCACGAGAATATGATTCGGACGCTCCTGATGTTTTTTCTGATGCGTAAAAAAACTTCTTTCCAGATGACGTTTCATACTCATTCCGATAGGAAGAAAACAAACTACTGACTACGTCTCATTCCTGTCCCTCTTCCCTGACATCTTTGAATGCATATTCACTCAAAATGCATAGTAATAATAATAGGTCGCAGAACTCCTCCTCCGCTTCGACGAGGATTATAGGTCCTCTAGCACCAAAACTAAAGGCGAAGATTTCCACTAGAACTTCGCTGCACCGGCTTTTCTCTTTGTGATTTTGAGTTTTTTACAAAAGAAAAAAAAACCTCAGCTCGCGCATTCCGTTCTTCAGCAGAGGGGCGTCGTCAGGAAGTGGGGAGCTGGCGGTCCACCTGCACTTCCTGGGGGTGCGTTAGGAGCTCCGGCAGCGGCGGCCTGCAGGGCTGCGGCCTGTTGCGCTGCATTGAGCGCGGCTGCCTCCGCAGCCCAGGGTTGCAACGATTGCAAAGCATGGAGGGACGCGCTGCTCAAGCATTGGAGTTGATCCCGCGGATCCGAGGCTACTTGCTGAGCGGCGAACTGCATCGATTTCTGCACAACTTCTGCCTGGAGAGACATCATCAAACGATTCGCCGCCTGGCGTTCCGCTTCCCGTTCTTCGGCGGTTTGACGTCTGTAAGGGGAAAAAATACTTTTCTTAGATTCAGTCCGAATCGACGTAAATCGTGACGATAACGACCATAGAAAAAATCTGTCCTCCTCTGAAAGTGAAGGTTCAGCGGGGGACCGAGCGATTCTCTGTTCTTGTCGAATGTGGGGGAGAAGCCGCGATGAATCCGAGAAAATGTTAATGTGCACCACGCCGATGTTATTGATGAGCGCTCAAGAGGAAAATGAGGATTGGTCACGACTCCGCCGGCGAACGAAGCAGGAATAAGGAGGCGGCTGAGTGCTAAATGAATTCTTGCATAATTCTCCCAATGAGGCACCGCTTTAATTTGTCGAAAGTTTTCATAGAGAACACCGAATCACGCGCAGCGAACGAGCGTCGGAGGGAGGGAGGGAGAACAAGAATGAGAGAGTGAGAACAGACGTCCAACCCATTTAATTGGGGTTCTCGTATGTCGCGCAGTCAACGAGCGGCGTTCTCGGTGTTCGCTTTCTTTCCTCATTTCTGCTTTGATGAAGCGACTGTTACAGACTATTCCGGTGCTTAAACACCGTCTATGACAAAATCATTTGCTCGACGGCCGACCACACGATGATGACGAGTGTTCTGATGCCGTACATCAGTGCGAGAAAAAAGAACCGGTCAACCTAATGACTCCGATCACGGATACGGGGGCCGTGGATCGGGTAGAGCCGCTCTGTGTCCTCGCTATGCTCGTCCTTATTAAATTGGGTCGCCCGGGCGGCCTGTATGATATGCATCAAAATGTATAATCCGTGTGGGTGACCGCAACCACTCGATTCTGCCATTCGGAATAGAAACGCTCTCACATCGCTTGGATCTCCTGCGCGGCTGCTACGCTCGCGACCGGGACCGAGCTTGAAAAAAGGTAGTGTGCCATGTTGATGGTGTATACTCGGCGTTGTAGTTGATTTCTGTGCAGTGTTTCTCGGGAGGATGAATGCTCAGCGACGAGTGAGAGGACTGTTGGACGGATGGGCAGAGTAACCGGCGAACGGTCGTACAAACGGCCGGACAAACGGACGGGCGACCAAACGGGCCGACAGAAGGACCACCATAATGCAGTTGTATCGTCTCTCATCCGACGCTAATATCGTTGAAAGCCAACGTAATGACGATGACGGCGGCGGACGGACGAATGAACGAACGAACGTCTGAGTGAGGAAGCAACTTCGTTCGCTGCCATCTGCTTCAGAGGCATTATCTTTCCAACACAGCGCGACAGGCAAGCAGGCCGGCCCCTATTTAGAAGTTTTCGTTCCTTCGTGAGCTCATGAACAGCGCCGCCTGGCGCTGAGGTCCGCGGGTACGGTATGGAATTCACTTCATTTGGTTTCGCGCGACTGAGCCACATGCTTCGGGAAGATTTTAGATTGGGAGCCGTGAGCTCTATTGGCTGCATTTCCAGAAACTAAGGACTTCCTGTCCGTCAAATTATTGCATCCGCTTGTTAGTCGATCATGAGCGGGATTCTCTGACCAACTTGAGGCGGAACGGCCCAGATGCAATTCACGGTGTTTTCCCGCGCAGCTCTCTGCCACGGATGTCCAGTCCAGAGGTCTGACAATGACTCTGCGGATCAATAAATTCCTGCATTTTAATGAGCGCTGGAGAGCTTTCGGGTTCGGAAGGAACCGTAATCCGAACAGAATTCCTGCTCTGAGGGTCTGTGACTAAGCTCTGGGATGAGCTCCTCAGGGGAATTTTTCCTTGTCACCCCCGATTGTTCACGTCAACTCCGCGGGAGAGTTCCTCTCCACGATCGGCTCTAGTATTTTGTTGTTTCACTCGGGCAGGCTTGGCTGTCTCTCGGGTCTCGCGAAACGGCCATCGAATTGCTTGATGTCTTCGCGGACACTGCCGTGAGAGATAAGATTCGTATGAACAATATCAGCAGAGCAAACGATTCGCTGCCAATTAAATAGCTAAATGCCGATGCATTCGAGACTGCCGAACGATAATGACGTATCGAGCAATGATCAAAGCGCCTTGATGCCTTTCGCTGATCGGCGCTCGAATTCTGTCGCTGCTCAGATGAATCACAGCCCGAAAGTCATCCCTGGTCGGCACCGTAATCGAGAACCTCGTCCGCGTACGGTTCGGTGACGCTGAAAATTGATTCGACAGCTCAACATGGGAAGACGAATTCGTTCAAGTTCACCTATTGGGCTTCATGACGATATGTCTCCCTCGCTCTCGTTTCCGTAGCTCACTGTTTTCTGGTCGCAGATTCCTCCGCTCGTTGGTTTCGCTCAGCGCAGAATGATTACCAGCCACTCAGCGACGACATGTAATCATTTTTTGCTCCGGCCCTTTTTCATCACTTTTTATTTCATCGCTCGCAGAAAGCCGATGCTCGAGCGCGCCGCAGAGACAGAAAAACAAATAACACAATCGGAATATCCGTCGGAGCTTTTCGCGGCAGCCAACAAGTCATAATCATGAGGTGACGAAAAGCCTTCGGTTCGCCGGGAAGGTTTTTTACTATATCCGACGTCGACTGATACGATTGATTCAAGGATTGCATTCAAGACCGCGAAAGCTGAATGAGAGCTTTCCCTGCATCTGAGCGTCCTCTCCTTCCGAATACCAGCCGATATTTCGCGGATCTCTGTGGGCTTTTTGAGCCATGGAGCTCAGTCAAAATGAAAGGCTCAAACGCTCGAGGGACTAGAAATTCCATCTCAACGGAGATAGGACGCTTCACGTGCTTTGAAAGGGCGCGCAGCGCGGCGTGATCCAAGTCAGGACAAAGTTCTGTCAGTGGCTGGATCCTTGTCTTCCCGTGGGGCCGCAACCCCGTGATTGGAGGATGGTGTGTTGATTTTTCTAATTCAGTCGGAGAATCGCTGAAGTCGTATTCGCCGACTCCGAATGGCTCCACAAAAATCGGCGCGAATCGACGAAGACGGCGGAAACAGCATCTTCGCTGAGTGAGACACAACGACAGTACGTTTGTGAGGGATGACTCGCGAGATTCCCGTAAGAATACACCGCATGTGTTTTCATGCGTGCGTGTTTTACTCTCTGCCTTCGTGAGCGTGTGCGTGTCTTACCGTTATCAGTGCGTCCTGCTGTCCCTAATCGGACAAGTCGAGAAGGAATTCATTCGAGAACTCATCCAAGACGCGATTGAAATCATCACGGCACCGATGGCAACCGCGACAGGAATACACCACTCCCGACGAATGATTCCATTCATTATCCGGACCGTCATTCTCATTTTGTTTCGGGAAGGCTCTCGGTGGATGAAAACGGATCGGGCAGATGCCCGAAAAATATTGTGAGCCAGGTGAAGGTGCTGCAAGGACCGAGTGATGCGAAAGTTCACCGCAGAATACCCTCGCGGTACGAAAAGGGGAAACGAGGGCAGGTCAGCTGAGAATAACTCAATTTCCACTGACTCATCGTGCTCTCGACCGCAGGTAAAGCGGGAGCCGAGTACGACTGCTCCGCTCGAAAGATGACTGCCGAAAGACTCGCAGAAAGGATCTGGTTTCGGGAACGAAGTAAACACTCGCCGTTTACGACGACGGTGATTCAACTCGAGACGGGAACATGTCCAGCCTATCGAGCTCGATTCAGCGGGACCGCCGATCGCGGTCTTTTCATTGTATGGGCCTTTAATCGTGGTTCGGGCATTCTCTCGAGTTCTGACGCTCCCTGCATTTCTGATATTCTGAAGTCCTCACGCTCGACATCGAGCGCTCCATGGATTTCAGGAGCATTGAAGCTGCTCCCGTCTGTAAATGAGTGAAAACCAGACTCGAACACGACCCAGAGCGGATGGACGAGAAAGCCGAGTCTAGCGACTAAACGTGTTGTCTAGCTCTGAATAGCAGCAGTAACACTCATTAGGCCGATGGCGGTAGCAGCAGCGGCGGACTGGCTTGCTCGCCGACCAAGTCGCCTACTCAGGCCGTTGGTCGCTTGCCCGGTCAGTTGGTACGTTGTCCAACGGGTGTTGTCCATCTTGTGATTCAATTATTGCCACACCACAAGAGCACGAGTGGAAACGGTGCTTGCCCGTCTGTCGGTCTCATCATCGAGTAAGCGGCCACTTTTGCTTGCCCGTTTGCTCCCGACTGTACTATGCCACCCGAGCACTAGGAACACAACAAGCCTCTCGGGCTTCCACCGACGACCGTACGGACTCTCAGGCAGACAGACAGATGGATGGGGGAACAAACCGACCGACCGACTGACTGACTGACACACAGAAGGACGGACGGACAGACGGACGGACGGAGTCAATGAGCGAGTGACTGACTGACTGCGGTTGCGACCGCAATACAAACAGCAGCAGCAGTGGTGGTGGTAGCGGTAATTGAGTAATTGACCATTTAGAACTTGTGCTCTCTCGCCGTTACCGCCTCTTGCTCCTTCTAACCAATCTAATGGACTGCTGCGGGACACGGGAAGACCTCAGACTCGCGGTCGATGGAACACGTCAGGATGAAACTCTCGCAATCGGTCCACTTATTAATCCGTTTGTCCATCGGGTGCGACCTTCAGAGAGTTTTCAAATCTGAATGCAAGACGCAGTAGTCACTTTCTGAGGGCCATTTATCGGGAGCGTCCTCGTGCAACAAGTGGACTGTGAGGAGCTACCTAACAGGAGTTTCTCCAAAACCAGGCTTTTTTTATCCGCGACTCGCGCAACGCAACTTCCCAACACGACTCGTTCTTAAGTTAAGGAGCGTGGAGTATTCGATCAGGCTTGGAGCGTGCTACGGAGCACAGGTGTAATGAGTCCGCTTGCCATTCCGCCAGCCAGCCTGCCTGCCTGTCCGCCAACCCGCCCGCTCGTCTGGCTGTGTGCGTGTGAGTGTGCCAGAGTGTAGGACGGGTCGTAATTGAGTTAGTGATTCCATAAAATTTATGATCAGAACGACCGGAGAGAGCGTGGAAGCGGCCAACGAACGAAGCCGGTCGCGGTGAACAAGCTCCGTTTTTCTCAGCTCGAGCGCCGACGAGCTCAA